TTGATCATTGCTTTCTAGCAGGGTAATTTTTTGTTTCACCGTATCAATCGCTTCCACCAAAGGCCTCATTTCAAATTTACTTTGTTGCTGGTTAGCCATTTGTAATAACTGACGCACTTGAGCTTCTAGCCAAGCCGACTTGTCAATGTGACTGGTAAGAACCTTTTGGTACAAAATGGATAAAATCTTAGTAAATTAATAATCTTAGCAGATCGTTGAGATGAAATTTTTCAACTCAAACATTTCACATTTAATTAATCAATTAATGAAATGAAAACTACACAGCCCAGAATAGAAAATTCAATGAGGACTGCAGAAAAATTAACCACCTATCCGCTCCCCCTCCCAATTCCAAATCTTTGGACTTTTCTTCGTCTGATTTTTACTCCTCCCTCAATTTCTCTCCACTTGGTTCTCTAACCTATCTTTTTCTCTCTGTTCTCATGTTGTCTCTCTTGCCTTATCACTTCCCTTTTTTTTTTTAAGCTGAGCCATCCTGCCACCTGTTGGCAGCTCAGCAGCAGCTCAGCTCAGGCCAGGCATCGAACCGCTGTTGCTCAGAGCTCGCACACTTGAGTGAGCTCTTAACCGACTGAGCCACTCGGCCGGCCCTGCCTTGTCATATCACTTCCTTCTCTTCTTAGAAGCTACTCTCCTGATTCACTTCTGATCGGCTAGAAGGCAGAGAATGAGCTGGAAGTCAGCCCACCTGTTCTGGCCTGAGCTCTACAGGTGGTCCAGAAGCGCCCTGGGTGAGGCCTGAACTTTTGACTGCTAGATGAAAGAGATGGAATAAAACTATCACCATCTGTCTCCTCCACTCTTGCCCTCACTGCCTTAACTCTGGCTGCTCAATGTGTTAGAAAAAGATCAGAGCTGAGATAATAACATATGATGCTTTTCATTTTTCCTAGACACACTCACGTGTGTACACAGACACACACACACACACACACACGCACATAGTGTGCTGACAAAGTATGGAAACTGCATGGCCTGCATTTTCTGGGATAATCCAAATTTCCCCATACAACATGCCAAGGAATCTTGTTCACTATAAATTTCAATAATCACAATAAAGACATTCATTATTCATTAGGAATTTGTTTATAGCTCTTTAACATTCATGGTTTACAAAGTAATTTTTGCTCTATTTTAGGGATGTTTAAAACATTTTTCCCAAGGGAATTAATAGTTTCACTCTGTTGGCTACAAAATTCAGAACTATAGATGCTTTCAATGAATCTGAAATCAAGTGACTAATATTGGCTCAACATTAATTAAAACCCTAACTGCCATAAATTATATAAAATTATTGTATCAATGTTAAATTTACTGACATTGCTAAAGGTACTGGGGTTATGTAAAAGAAGATCTTTATTCTTATGAAATACATACTGAAGTGTGTAGAGGTAAAGGGCTATAATATATGCAGCTTATTCTGATGTGGTTCAGAAAGAACAGGGGGGAGGGGAGGGGAGGGGAGAGGAATATGAATGATGAAGCCAACAGGATAGAATATTGACAACTGGTGAGTCTAGGCGAAGAACATACAGATGTTTTTCGCACTATCTTATCCTGTAGCTTTTCTGAGCTTTTGAAATTATTTCCATTTAAAACTTTGTAAGAAAAACCCTCACTGCCAATTGAAGGCTAAATCTTGGCGATAAATAGAAAGGCCATTTCTCACCTGGATGTTTGAGAGGAAGCTTCCATTTTTGCCAAACAGCTGTGCAAACTGCTTGAACTCCTTTTCGAATTTCTTTACAGTTTCTGCTAGTTGCTGGATTTTACTTTCTTTCTGTTCTAGGCTCTTATATAAGTCAGAAATCTAATAACAGGAACGTAGATGAAGTCACTTAAATGCATGCATACAAATTAAAATAATCTAAATGTAGTTCTAGGAAAATATTGCAGGTAAGAAAGTGTTTCTAGGAAAAAAATATATATCCAAAAAATGTATACACATTTTAAGAAAGGAAAACTGTATTAATTGTAATACTTAATATATACCGATAACAAAAGATGAATACAAGTCACGTTTGACTTCTGCAATTACAAGACATGTTCAAAGTGGTTACAATCAGCATCCTGATACTTCTGATTATGGTGAACTACTGCTTGAGCTTAGAAAACATCTCTTAAAACATCTCTTAAAAGGTGTATACATTTTTTTGGCACCCCAAATATATATTATATTATTATATAGATTATAAGGAGATATATATATATATATATATATATATATATATATATATATATATTCCCCCCACCCCCCGGAAAACATTTACAGCTAGATTCCTATATAATTCTGGGAAAGTATTGTCAGGTGCTTTGAAAAAAACTGATCCACAGATTTGTCATGAATCGTTTCTATACCTAACCCACTATGATGGTTCATCTAATGACAGTGATACCACTTGGCTGAATTTACTGAACTGGTTGGCTTCATACACTTAGTAAACACTAAAAACCCCAGGGTACTGATCACCATACCACACTGGGTGTTAGTGCACAGTATCAACAGTAATAGCTGAAATCTGCTGAATGTCAACCATACCCTTATATTCATTAGCTCTTTTATCCTCAAAGAACCCTATGAGTTGGGTCTGAATATTGGTCCCGTTTTACAGATGACGAAACAGAGGCAAAGAGTTGACGTAATCTGCCCAGCATACAGCTAGCAAGTGGGAGGCAAAACATGGCACCCTCCCAGAATTTGAAATCTATGTGAGAGAAATAACAAAAGTCTAAGAGTGACCCTTGACAACTCTTCTCTCATCCTCATATCCACTCAATCCTTGCCAGCTTGAACTCTGACACACAGCAAAACAAAACAGCATCCATTTCTCATTTCCTCTCATCTTGTTTCAGCACTAATGTCAGCCTTCATTACTTCTTGCCTGGACTGCTCCAACAGCCTCCTAACTGGTCCTACACACACACATGCCAGAAAGGAGGCTCTCTGGGAACTGGGCCTGGCATGGACCCTACAGTCCACTGTAACCCTAGCAGCTGGCCTGGCTCCTGGCGTCAGTAGGTGCTTGCTAAATATTTGTTAAATGAATGAATGCATGCATGGTCTCTCTTTTTTTAGTCTTGTTTTCCTCCAATGCATACTCCATGCATTGTCCACAATAATATGCAGAGATAGATCTGGTCTTGTCACCACCCTCCCCTTTAACCGCCTCTACTGGCCTTTTACAGGCTCTGCGCCCGGCTTCCTTTTCAGTCTCAAGCCCATTCACATCCCGTGTGCACCCTGCCCAGCGAGAGTGCACAACTTCTATTTCCCACCAGGCCTCACTCACTCAGACACTTCCTCCTTCATCTAGAAAGCACTGCTTTCTAAGCCTCCACTCAAAGAGTACATTCTCTCAGGAATATTGCTAGGACCACCTACCCAGGCTACCTCTTAAGTTCCATGACACCTGACCATACTCCAGTGTATAACTTACCCTTATTATTCTTTTTTTTTTTGGTTATTCTCATCTTTTTATTTTTCTCCACTAAATTGTTGAGGGTCCATCTCACTTATTTCTTTATTCCCAAAGCCTTGCACAGTGCCTAGCACACAGTGGGCATCTGCTACATGTTTTATGACTGAATGCACAGATGGCGGCAACAATCATCTGCTCTCTGGCCACGGAATCCTCTATTTAGACCCCGAGAGCTGACTCCCACCTATGCACCAGACATCTCCCTGAACAAAAGCAAACGCGCCTCTCCTCCCCGTCACCTCTAACCTGCTCTTGTCCTTGTAGTGCCCATCTCAGTCAGCGACATTACTATGGTCCCTGCCTTCTAAGCTTACAGCACGCCATTCCAACCCCCAGATGCTTCCCATTGTCCTGGCTCCCACTGACAGAGCCTTGGTTGACCCTTCATCACCACCATCACCTCCTCCAGCATCTTGCTTCCAACCTAATATTGAAAGCTTATGTGCCAGGTATTATTAACCAAAATGGCTGTAGACAGGCATGTGGCATGTTATGGAGAGCACGAGACTGAGAATCAGGGGACATTGGTTTGAGACTGAATTCTGCCACTTAAGAGTTACAAACACATCAAAATGTCTTTGAGCTTAGTTACTTCCTCTGTTGAATGAGAGAGATGGACCCAAAGATCTCAAAGGCACCTTCCACTTCTAATGTTCTGCTATCCTATGAGTCTGCCTGGTCACTTAGTAGAAAAACATCTACCACCAGTCAACTTACACAGAAACAGAGAATATAAAAATGCCAGTAATGGCAAATCTCAGCAATTCTGCTGCCTCCCTTTATATCTGAACCCTTGGATACTTATTTACCTGTTCTTCTAATTGGAAGTTCTTTTCTAAAACGAGAAGCATGTGGTCCCGTAAGGCTGAATGCTCATGCTGCTGCAGCTTCCCCCGTTTATCCTTCAACATGAAGAGAAAAATAAGTCAGGTGGTTGAAAGGCTCCCAAGACAAGGAGGGTATGCTCTGCTAAAGCAGAACTTGAACAACTTTGCTTACTTGTCTCATGGTGGGTTGCAGGGAGAATGGTCCCTCCAGGTCCCTCTTCGAGCTTTAGGACTCTACAGTTCCCATGAGACAATTTTAAACTTACAGAGACAGAGAATCAGGTCACTATCAAAATTCCCAACGTTGACTTCCTTCCTGGCCCTGTGACTGTATGACTGTGGTTTAAGTGTAGATATTATCATCTCACAGCTGTTCGCATATAAAGCCTATCTCCTTAGTGGGTTGGCTCCAGATCAGTTTTAGGCCTAAGTCAGTCCACCCTCCTACCAAGTACATTTCTATGCTGCCTTCTCTCACTGCTCTGCTATCACAGACCAGAGGTAGGCAACCTAATTGTGACTTCAGCCCATGCAAATCTGTTGCCCTCAAAATCAAATAATATATTTGCAGTAATTGCAAAGTGCATATATTACTAATAAAAGAAATGTTAGGGGTTCTGGGTGACCCATGGACTTTAAGCAAACATTTATCATCAATTTCCCTTCTGTTTAGGATTGGCTCCTCATCCAGAGAACAACTCCCATCCCCAGCTGTAATACTGAGGTAAGTTCTAGGATACAATCCAATTGGATGTTTGGGCCTAACTCTAAAGAAGATTCCTTTCAAAGCTGGAAAGCAATTCTGTATTTCATGCACTAGAAAGGTAAACCCTGTTCTTTTTATAGCGAAGGCAATCACTGGTTTGGTATGTGACAAATTTATGGACTCATCACTGATTTATTTTTTTTAAGCCTTCTCATAATATATTTTTTTCAAATAGGTTTTTAAAATAAGAGAAATATTTATGTAGATACAGAATGAAAGATGATGTAGAATGAAAACTAAAAGCAGTCTCTGCATCACCACATGCAATTCCCTACTCTCACCCACCAGAGTTGGTGAAGATATATACACATTTTAACACAAAGAGATCATACTATATTTAATTTAAAAATATATACCTTATTCTTTTTATCAAATGAAGTATTCCAAAGTATGAATATATAATTACATAGTCAGCACTTTAGTGAAGGACTTATAAGTTGATTTTAATTTTGTTGTGGCTTTTGTTGCTATGTAAACATCTGTGTGTGTGTGTGTGTGTGTGT